TACTTAACTAGCTGTACATACACTAACTTTGAATGAATTTTTCTGTATGACCTGTTGCTTACCCTTTGGTTGATTATTGAGGTGTACATCTGATTCACCAACAATAAATTGAAATGTTATGAAAGGTACATCCAGACAATTTAAGCATATTTGAATGTGATAGAGGCTTGCAGAGAACATTAATTTTTTGTCACTGTCTAAACATGTTCTGTTAAACATTTTTTGTGGGTTCCTATACAATTTTGCACACATTGACCTACAGTACAGTACATGTCAATTGTGAGGATTTTGGGTTAGCTGGTTGCTACAGGAGGATTTTGTGTTTGTCCTCTATCATAAAAGAAAAGAATGGATACAAATGTTTTTGAACTAAAATTTTATGTACATAGGTGGTTTTTCCATAGACTTTTTGCAGTTTTAGAATAAAAAGAGAGGAGAAAACATACTTAACTCCCAATAAAGTCCTATATAATCTCATTATGTAAGTCCTTACTGCACAGCCAGTGGGCTATTCCATTTCAGTGCCATCCAAGTCAATGTTTAGTCAACTGATTCACTTGTAATGTTTTGTACTTCTACATGTACAGTAGGCTACCATCTCATCTTCACCATTATTTTGTCTTTGCTCCCTCAGCATCAGTTCAGGTGACAAATTAACAACCAGGATCTGTGTTTACCACAGCCTTTAATACACAAGCCTTCAGAGACAGCAGAAAACTGCTCAATCAGCCAAGTGTAAACTGTCACTTGGACCCCAGTAGTCCCTTAGCTTCTGTTGTATTTTTGTTTGCCAGCTGTAGCCAAGGCCAATAAATGTTACAAACATAGAATGACATGGACTTTAAACTTTTCCACAGACAGGACTAATCTTACAGTAAACTCTTTCTACTACCCTGCCCCTCATTTGGTTACACAATGCACATTTTTGCTTTATGAGCAAAATTGCCAATCCTGTATGTATTATATTATGTATATAATTCATTATATGTATATTATCTAATATAACATATAGTATATTACTATATAATATATATAGTTATAAAAATGTTGTGGTATACAAATTGTTGGTGCAGCAAGTACAGTTAAAAGCACAATTAAAATTTATATTAATTCACTTCAAATGAAATTATTCTTAGCTCTTAAAATATAGAAGTTTCAGCAGGATAATTGAAGGAAATAATTTATTTTTATTGTTTCATCCTTTATTGTCTTTGCCTAAAAAGTACTGATCATTAACAATAATTCATTTGTAAGTGTCATTATGTACAAATGATAAAATGAGAAATGGGAGAGATTCATTCCATGTATCTCAGTCAGTTGTCTCTGATAATTTCTTTTGTGGCAAGTCAGTGTTTTTCCTTACAATTACTTAAATGATAATCAATTTTTAAACCAAAAACCAAAACTTACCTGTATCATTTCAACAGCAAGACGTTTAGGTAAGAAGTTGCACTTCTTTTTCGCTAAGTTTTACCCTTATCTTACATTTCTCTTAACAGTTTTACACTGTCCACTGCCCTGGACAGTGACATTCCATTGCCCTACAGATATATTCATAAAAAAGAACAAAAAAAAAAACAGAATTTAAAAGAGCACATTCTCCAAACTAAATCTCATTCTGTTATGTTTTTGTTCCTTTTTCATCATTGGTATGAATACATCTGGAGGGCACTGTATGTTTTCATATTGCAGTGAGAGATCTTGAAGTTGCATTTGAAGGAGAATTGTGAAGAGAATGGAAATGTCCTTGATTTCAAATTTTAACATTTTATTACAGTATATACTGTACATAAGTATTCTACATTTATTTTTCAAGTTTATTTTCTGCCTGAAGAAAGTAATTCAGAATATTTTTGCTTGTTTCATTTAATGGAATAAATGCATTAATGATGTATGCATTGTATATGATGTAGACTGAACTGGAAAAACTCAATATAAAAGGATTGGAGTACTTTCAAAGGTCTCATTTAACACAACTATTAACAAGTTCTGTGCTTGGGTTCTCAATTACAGTATTTACGGAGGAATACTGGTGTGGGTAATTGAGAGAGATACTGTATTGCTTTCATCATTTTGAAAAAAATCCAGTGAAACCAGAGAACAGACCAAAACACACAATGCAGGTTTTCTCTATGACCAGTCCATTGACAGACGCTGTCCTATGCAGCCTCCTCTGTGTGATATTTCTTTAAAAATATCATTAATTAACGACAAAAAAAGGAAAAAGTGTAAATTTAACAAATGTGAATGGCACTGATTCCCACTTGCTGTGCACAGTTAGACCACATTCTTCTAAACCAGCTCTGGACTGGAAACAGCATGACAAGTAATAAATCCATCTCCAAAGATTTGCGTGTCAAGAACTGTCCCAGTGCTGTATTTGATCCACTTAGGCCATCGGCCTTCTTGCTGTTGTCTGTACTGATCAGAGAGTTTCAGCCTGTTCAGTTTTTTTCATGGAACCTAAGTAGTGTAGTGTTTGTACTTCAATCTCATGCTGAAGTCAGCATGTCTATAATTTATCATCTTTACACTATAAGGCAGACAAATAAATATCAATATCAATAAAGTATTGCATTGTATCTGATAATAGCTCATAGGCTAGAAGTTCTTGAGAAAATGGGACTGGTCAGGAGGTGGTGGATTTTGGATTAAAAAAATGGATTAGATAGCTGGGATTAGCTGTTGTGACCCATTTCTGCAACCTGCACATTGAAAGCAGCCAGAGCTCAAAGGTTAGCAATTCTGGCTGATCTCTAAATCAGCATGAAACCTTGCTTGTAGTAGCTGTCAAGAACTTCCTCTCTTTCACTGTATCTCTCTTTTTTCTTGCCTCTTCTGTGCTTCAGTGTAAAGATTTAGCTAGTTATAGAAGAGACTGGCAGTGGCATTTTTTTCAGGATTGGCAAATGAAAGACTCTGACTTCCCCCTCCTTTTTAAAATTATTTTCAGATCAAGTGTTGGGAAAAAGTAAAGTTGCTTTGCTTGCTTCCCTACTACTGTTTGTTGAGAACATAATGGAGATAAAGAAATTTAATTATTACTTAAAAACTTTAAAAAATAACACCCAGTGGAAGGTGAAATTATGAGAACTGTCTCTTTCATTTAATTTTTGTACTAAGTTGTGATTTGTTTCTGAGAGGAAAATGGAATAATGACTGAGTTAGAGCTTCTGGAAATGGAAAGTGTGTGCATAGCAGTGAAATAAACTATGCAAACTTGTTTTGAGAAGAATGCTAGACAAAGTAGCTTTTCAACTAATAAATACCTAAATTAATAATAAATACATATAAATACATAATTTTTACAATACAATAAACTCTGGGACAAAGAATAGGTAGGGCTCTCTGATTTCTGTGCTTGCAGATAATATGAAGAATCTTACACAACATCTCTTCCTAGACATTATTATCCAAAGCAGTGCTCTATGGATTCACAAAAAAAGTGTCTGCACCTGCCTGTTCAGTCCCTAACTTTGCTCACATTTTTTGACTCCTGTTAAGGAGGAGTTAAGGCAAATAATGGGAAACGTTGGTCGTGTCATCATGTTGGTTTTCATCATCATTCCAATTCCAACTGTGGAGTGAAGGTCTTTCCAAGGTATCTGAACAGAGCCCTGTCTCAGTTCTTCCATCTCACATATGTAAATGCTTTAATTTAACCTGGCTGTCTTCCATGAGGGCCTTTGTCTCCTGAGATATAGTTCAAACTTTTTTTGGCTTAAGGCTGATGCATCATTCTTGTCAAGGGTTAATCGCATTTCCATTTATTTTCTTAAGTTTGTTTTTGATATTTGTTACATCCCAGTGTGTGTTCTGTGTGTGTTTTTTCTGTTACTGTATGTCCACACTGCTGACCCTTGATTGTTCTCCCTTCCCCATTGGCCCACCATTACACCACACTTTCAGTATGACATCATCATCAATTAGCTCTCAGCCAATCAGAACACATCTTATTCAGCATATAACATGGAGGTTTTCAGCAAAGAGAGGCTTTTTGTTTGACTTTGGTCCTGTTTAGTTTTGGTTATCGCGTCACTTCTGGTTATTGCTTAAGCTTCGTTTGTTGGTTTGTTTTGCTTTGTGTGTGTGTATTTTCGTATAGCTTCGGCTTTGTTGTTTTGTTGTTTTTTAGTTAGTTTCTTTGTACTTTGCCATTACCTTGCCCCAGTGTTACATGTTCAACTTTTGTGTTCTTTTGTACCCTGCTCCTGTTGATTACCCTTGTTTTCCCTTATTTGTATTCCTGGTTCACTTGTGTTTTTGTGTGAACTTTTGTATATAAGGTTAGTGTAGGTTGTTGGGTACACTTTACACACTAAGTTGATTTTGTATTAGTACACTAGTGAAGTATGGGTGAGTGCCATTTGTCTTGTATGGTTTTGGGTAGTCAGTGCAGGTTAGCTAGGGTGTTGAAGACGCCGAAGACCGTGTGTTTCGGGTTTTCTTTTGTAGTCAGATTAGCTTTCCCTCACTGTCCTAGCCAGCTCCATTTTGTTTGTTATTTTCTTTTCTTTGGCACCACTCTAGTTCCTTACCCTTATCACACTTTCTAGTCCCTCACCAAAACCCACCTGCTTCCAAAAGAATTATCCTAAATGTTACACCCCTTTACCCCTAGACACTTGGGGTCATAACAATATTCATAATGGTCATAAGATGAGTAACAGGAATATGTAAAAAAAAAACAGAAAACATTACAAGTTGAGAGAAGTAAGTTCGACCAATCTAGCTTGTTGTGATGCTAATAGCTAATTGATCCTAGTATTTCATTCAGCCATTTCTTGACATAATCCTAGGCATCAGCATCAAAAACATGGCTGGGTAGCTTGTTCCAAACTTCCACAACCAGAAGCAGCTAGGGTTTCGTCTTCCAAGAAATTGTGTGAAGAAGGCTTGGCTTAAATCCTTGTGCTCATGTTGTTTCACAGTATAAGCCTCTGTAAATCGTAATTTTTGTACTTTGCTGGTCTCTAACAGCTGAATTATTCTGTGAATAGGGGACGACTGGTACCTGTGCCGCTTGACTCTAACTGTCCCCAGTCTGGCGGACCTGGAATGGACGATGTTTCCTTTTCCCTACCTGGCTGCAGTGGCCCCTGATGCAGCCAAGGGCACTGTGGTCTATCAACTCTCAGTGCATCACAGAGGGAGTGTGGGCTCCTCAGAGGCAGCACAGTTCACTTTGATCGAAGGTAAGATGTGATGTTAATCATGGTTTCTGACAGGTACAGACAGCAGATACAAAACACTCTTTGAACACTTTCCAGCAAATACTGGGGATGCTGTCACTCGAATTAACAACCAAATGTGAGGTTGTTGTTGTTCTAATGTTAGAGAATTAGAAAAGAGAGGAAAAATTGTCATGTCTGGGAGCCCAACCGTGGTGACCTGATGATAATGGTGAGGAGAAATAACATTTCTGTAGTTTCAAATCTAAACTAAATGCTTCTGACTCACTATTCTTTTCTGACTCAGTATTCTAACTGTTTTTACTGCATTCAAATCACATGATCTCATTTTACAATAATTTACAGTGTTAATGCCGGTGCCTTTAAATATATAGGATTGTGTGTATTATTCTATAATAGTCTATTGAACAGTACAGGATCTGTATTGTATTTCATTGTATTTGGAAAAGTATGAGCCACATGTTTTACAGAGGTTCAAAATGAATTATCCAAATTAAACCCAAGGACTTAAAAGAAATGCCACAGGCAAGGGGATATTATTAACTGTGACTTCTAAATGGAAAATTTCAGTACAATATTTTGCAGTCAGTAAGATCTAAAAACTTTTCAGAATTCATAAGGACTTGTAGTGTGCATTGTTTTTTCTTTATGGGTCAGTTGTGTTTATAAGCTGATATTCTCACACTTAATGCAGTTTATTGCTGAGATTACTGAACTAAGGGAAAAATTATATTACAAGTACAGTATTTCTATAATCATTTTTGTTATTTATGGAGGAAATCTATTTGCAAAATGCTTCAGAGAATTCCATTGTGCAAAACCCAACACATTTATCAGAATCACATAAAATACATTATCAGCATAAACTCATGTTTTCAGGGTCCAGAAACCAGCAGGTTTTTATGTCTATGTTATAAGCACCTTTGTGGCAGGCAACGTGTATTAATTGATTCAATTAAGGTTGAATGAGACCCAGAAATGCATTCTAGACTTTGAGAACTGGATTTTTCAAGCTTTGCTTTACTATGTTTAATCAGTTATTTACATAGGCTTTCACCAAATTTAAAGATAATTTAGTTTTAAAAACAGATCTTTTTCTGGTGCCATATGAATTAGAAAAAGCATTTTTAATGTAAGACTTACTTATAACCTTTTTATTATTGAGACAAGACAGATCATAACTAAGGGATGTGCTTTAAAATGCAATAAATTCAGGTCTCAAAGGGGGAACTTATATACTGTAGCTAAAGACTGGAAACGTTTAAGCTTGTATACATTTTTTTTAAATATGTGAAAGAACAAGGAGAGTAGTGTAGTACATCAGCTCCTGTATAATGATAGAATTAGACAAGCTTCAAAGCCAAGTGCCACTATGTATTGCAGAGTTGGCAAATTCGATGCTTTCTGATGTCTCTACAGTGATAAGCAGCTGTAAGCTTCCTAGTGCTGCTCTGTTGCCTTAAGGATAAGGGTTAAAATGACCTGTCCTAGTTTTTCCTTTTTTCAGTGAAAAAAAAATGTTAAACCTCTACCAAATAAATTCACACACCACATGACCATCGTGCCCTAATACAACCTGCTGTTTATAAAATGTCTCTAAAAGAATATGAAGTGGAGAAAACACTCAAATCAAAACCAAAGGTTTATTTTGTTCATCTCTAGTAATATAGTCTTTTAATTTGTATTTTAATACTCTATTAGTATAACATTATTAAAGTATAGAACGTCCCAGTTTTATTTTGAGTTTTAAAGATTTTGGTTCTGTTATTGACTCTTTTTATGCCTTTACTGAAGATCATGTATGGGTCAAAGATATACTGTAAGTTGAAATCAAATACTTAGGGCAGAAAATATAAATCAGTTCTGTAAATGTTATCGATGCCTTTAGTTCCTCTGCTGCTCTGTCTGCAGGAAGCTTAAGGAAGCTTCAAAGTACAAAGGAAGACAAAGCTCACTCCTGATTATTTTAAAGAGTTTCTATGCAGTTTTTGTTCTCAGATGAGTCTAAGATGAGTGCCGATTTTAATCTTCTTCCCAAATCCCTTCAGGTAGCAAAGAGTATTTTGAGGTGGACTGGGACAGCGGAGAGATCAGGACCACTGGCTGGCCACTCACGCCACAGAGCGTGTATGTGCTAACAGTGCAGGCTGTCGACAGGCTCGGAAGGAGGGGCCCCTATGCATCCATATCTATCCTAGCTGGCTTTCGGCCCCCGCAGTTCACCAACATGTCATACACAGTGTTCGCTCCTGAGAATACTGCAGCAGGACAAGCGTAAGTACAGGCTTGCTGGGGGCAGCTGCTCACTGGGAAGGAAAATGCCTGAATCTGGCCACCAGTCAGGGCTCATTTGTAATCTCTTACATGCAAAACGTGCCCTCCAAAGGAAGACTCAGGTGTATCAATTTGGCCAGAGATCGCCAGATTAAACAGATTCACTTACAGTAGCTTCTAAACTATGAAACTAACAAGATGAGCCACATTTCGTCCCCACTTTTGTATCCCTTGAGATTTTTCTTTCATTTAAAAACTAGAAATGATTTATATGTGCCTTTGAAGTAAAGGTACTGTACCACAGAACATAGTATAAGTTTTATTTGGAGCAGAGTCATCCTTGGGAGCACAGATTATGAGTGATTAAAAAATCTGTGACTTGTGGTCTGCAGGGTTGCTGTCATGAAGGCCATTTCCTTCCAGCGCAAGCCCCTGTCCTACACTTTGCTGTTCAATCCCAGCAGCCTGTTCAGCATTAACCAGGAGAGTGGGGTGCTGAGTCTAACACGCAGTGTGGACTATGAGAGTGAGCACCACCTTCATCACCTGCAGGTGGGAGCAATGGAGCAGGGCACTGGGCTGAGCACCGTGACAGAGGTATAACCACCTTGACTGACTCATACTTACAGCATGACATTACTGTACTTTGACTATTTTAACTTGTCCATTGTACAGTAGCTGAGATGTACTTGAAGGTACTGTGCCTTGCAAAAGTGTTCAGATTCTTCCTATGATGTCACATTTTGTGAAATTACAAAGGTATCCAATTTTTATACTTAATATTTTATGCAAAACATGAATGTTAAAACTGAAGGCCTCTAAGTGTACAATAAGTTACAGTAAAGAATGAAGCATGTTGATTGCATAAGTATTTAGATCCATGAACTCAATATATACCTTTGGCAGCAATTACTGCTGCAAGTCTTTTTTGGAAGGTCTCTACCAACTTTGTGTACCAGTGTAGTGCAATTTATGCCCATTCTTTATGGCAGAATTGCTCAAGCTCAGTCAATGTGCTTGGGGATCGCATATCAACAGCAATTTTGCACTTCACAATTAGATTCAGAGAGGACCATTCAGACTTTCACTTTCTTACTTCTTAAGTGACTACTGTGTATTTTTGGGCTTGTGTTTTTGATTGTCCTGCTAATCTGTTCCATACAAACCCCTTTGTGGAGTAATTGGGATATTGTTGACTCACGGGTATTTCCTCCCATCTCATCCACTGAACTCTGTAACTCTTTGAAAGTCACCGTTGGTCCAACAGTGATTTCTTTAACAAGTTTCCTTGTTGTCCAGCAGCTGAGTTTGGAAGGATAACCTGATCTAAGGGGTGTCTGGGATCCTTTCTCTTCTTAATCATAAACTTCACTATACTCAAAGAGGTATTAAAGACTTTTGAAATGTTTTATACCCTGATCTGTGCTTTTATAAAATGTTTGGTTTTGAAAGCCCTTTGGTCTTCATGGTTTAATCTTTGGCTAACCCTTTTCACTGCCTGACTGAGGGACCTTGCAGAAGTAGATGTATTTCTTCTGAAATAATGTCAACCGCTATTAATGCAAGTAGTACCCGTAATTGAGTGACTCATTAAGGTAATTGGGTGTTAGATGTTCCACAGAAAAGGGTTTGAATACTTATGCAATCAGAAACATTTCCATTTTTCTTTTATATTAATTAATCTACTGTATTTACTTATGCCTTTTTGTTTTTTCCTTAAGATGTGTGAAATCGGGTATGCGTATAACAGATATTGTTCCTTTAAAGTGTCATGACTGCGAGCATTAAAGCAGCAAAATGTAAAACTGTGAAAGCGACTGAATACTTTTGCAAGTAATTGAACTGTGAATGATGACGTCTTCTTCTCTGATGTTAGGTGATGAAACATTTGTTATTTACAAGTTATTTAATCATTTTATTATGGTTAATAGTTCTTAAATATATTTTATAGAAGACATTGTTTGATTTTGTTAAGAATACAATCAGATACAATAATCCCAAAAATGAATTCTGAGTCACTACAGCATAACATTCAAAAAGTGAAGTAGTTCATCAACTTCTAATTTGACTACAGTTCCAAATAGGTAACAGGCCTTTTCATTTGGATCAGTAGTACAGTCCTATATATTCCAGTGCCACATCACACATGCCTTCATTTAGCTTCAGCAAAGTTGCATTCCTTCACTGCAGAGGTAGTGGCAATGGAGTACTAAAGAGGAATGAACTTGATGACATGCTTGTATAGTAATCTTAGCATTGTCATGCATGTATAGTATTCTCTATAGCACAATGTGTAATGTAACAAGTAAAGGTTTATCCCATGCTGTAAAGAGAATAGAATAAACCTTTACTTGTTCCTTTACAGCCTGCTCTTGCTGATGCAGCTATCTACTTGAATTACAATATGTAATGTGACAGGAAATACTCTTATCCAATTAATTCATAGGTATTTTTTAAATTATTTTATAGCTATTTTATCTTCTACAGTATGGTGTCCTTTGACTAGAACTGTCTCTTTATGAATTATAAAATAATAACACTACTTCAAAAGCATGTCGATTTGATGCCAAATTTTACCTTTTCTTTTTTCAATGTTGAATTGTGTCCTGGTAACTTTCCAAATTCATATTTAAGTGAAATTAACACAAAAGATTTTCCCTTTCTAGGCTTACATCTTTACATATTACTTTCTGAGAAAAGAGGAAAAAGCTGCACATTGTGGCAAAAAAGATTAAGTAAATTCCTTGCTGTGTAATCACTTTAATTCATTATTTTTTTCAATAAATCAGGAAATGAAGAGAAGATTTTTTGCAGTGCTGGGAATACGTCAGCGATGTGATTATTTTAAATGAAAATACCAAACTCAATGAGTAGTAAGGTTTGCTCAACACAGGCATGTGAGCTGCATTGGAGTGAAGCATGATCTCTTTCATGTGATATACTGCTGGATGGCAGCCTGACTTGACAAACCTCTGTTATGACATTTTACTTCCATTCTTTAAAAACATCAACTGCCATAGCTGTCTCACTGACAAACACAACTTTACCTTCATCTGTGGTCCTCTCTCTTGAACCCTTGTCTACAAATGCAATGCTAACAAAGACTTTAGTTCTTGACCTGGACACATTCTTTCTTACAGCTTTTTCCTATTCTGTCAGATCTTTGTCTTTCTTCATGTTTCAGGGAGAGCATTATTTTAATCTATTTGATAAAGAAAAGAAAGAAGGATAAATGAAATAAGAACTCAAACAAATACTCCTCTCTCCCAAAACACTCTTTTTGGACTTAACACTAGCAATTATCCCAAAATGGTTGTGATGGATGTTGCATTTTATTTGAAAGAGAATGTGCTGTGTTAGGTTCTGCCAGAATGAACATGAGTGCTTACATTTTCCCTGCTACATCCGAAACTCTAATGCATTCATCTGCATTAACATCGTCAGCATGCTCCAGAAATCAGTGGCATAAAAGATCGCCTATGCTCCTGATGTGGGATAAGGTGTGACGAATGAAACAGCTTTGCTGTAATCTGGCAGTCCCCCGGATAATGCAATTACTTCCGTCCCGCTGCAGGTGGTGGTTCATATCAGCGATGAAAATGACTGCACCCCAGAATTCCTCCACTCCATCTACAGTCGAGACAATATTCCTGAGACCATCCCACCTGGCACGTCCTTACTGCAAGGTGAGGATCTGTGAAGCCCTGGAAACAGTCGTCTATGAGTTCACATCAGCTTCCAAAGTGCTGTATATTAGTTTCACATTTCCTGTCTTTATGTAGCATTGTGTAGCATTTTCATACAATTATAATTATGTTTTTAAAATTAAGAGTTTACTGTTATTTTTTTTTAAGAGATCAGGAAATGTTTTGATGCAGGACAGTAGAAGAGGCTGATAAAAGTCACTTCTAGTTGTGCACATACATCAGATGAAAACAAACATAATGGTAAAGATGCATTTATGAAAACTGAATTTCCTTTTCTTAATATTCCCTGTTGGGAACTACAACTGAACTTAGAGAACAGTGGAACAGCTATACAGTGATAATCTTTTATTGTTATCAAAAGCTTTTAAATAGCCATTAATTGATTGGTCACTGTCACAGATGTCAGAAGGGCATGCCGTGGAATGACTAGGTGAGCAGTAGAGACCCTAAGCATAGCAGTAAAAGGGGCAACACGGTGAGCCCAGGCTCAGGGGGTCAGGCAATGTCGGTAAGAAACCTATCCCCTTTAGGCCACGGATGGGGGCGACCTGATGTCTCACGACATCCGTACCCTCAATGCTGAGAAAGGAGCAGAGCAGACACTGAAAGTTAATATGCTACACAACAAGAGAAATACATGAATAATCACAGGGAACAAGGAACAGGACAGAAGTAGAGCTTTACCCTGTACTAGGTGTACAGGGTGTGACAGTCACCTACAGTACTTTTTTTATTGGAGTACTATAGGTGAGTCGGTAACTAATGTGGCAGAATGTAACACTTTAAAACACTCTGAAACAATTTCAAATTCTTGTTCAACTTCTGCACCCAGCTTGAGAGTGGAGAGGAAATGTGAGTGCTTTTTGACTGAATGAGCCACCTCTCCTTGGACACACATAAATAACTCAGCAGAGATGTCCATCCAAGTTGTGACTCATGGATGCATTAGGAATGTTCTATTTTAGAAAGGAGAGCCCCTGTGGGGCTATTAATCATGCCTTAATTAAAAAATAACTTTTTTAACCAGTAAATTCTAAGTGGTACCTGTATTGCAATCAAAGCATGCCTGGGGCTGCATGGTTTTTTGTCTTGCTATCATTTGAGTACTCTCCTCATGAAGATTCCTTCATAGTATGTTTATAGGCGCATCTACGGTATGTGTTCGTTCTTGTCACTAGTCACAGTTGGCTATATCACCCTGATGAGCTCCCTTTTGGGCAAAACAGCTATCCATGAAAACTATGACTTTGTATGTGCAAAAGTCACAAGAGAGCTCCATCTCCCAAGCGACGTGATACGACTAATTAATATTCATCCCAATAATTCAAAAGTTAAACATTAAATATCCTCACCAAACACACAAGTCACTAAGGTTTTAGTGATCTGTATACATTATATAAATATATTTAGTGATCTGTATACAGTACATTATATATATATACATTTTTAGGTTTATTCCTTGCTGAAAAGAGAAGAAAGGAAACATTTGGGCTGTGGAGCCTTCTTTGGGTGTGGTTGTCTTCTACCACAGATCGCTGATCCCAGTTAACTCCTATCATATTCATAATCTCATAAAAAGATCATACCCACCTTTCCATCTCAGAGGTTCTAGGAGAAAAAAGAACATTATAACCTTTTGAACTATAGGATTAACTGGATTGGACTGCTACATTTGTCTCCCTCTGTGTAATGTAAATTGTTTTACAGCATTAAAAAATGGATGATGTTATTTATTTTTGAAGCAGTTATGCTTCTCAGTAGGGTTCACTTACTCGACTGCTGTTTGAGAGAAATATGTATTGTATTGTATTTTATTCACTGTTTACAAAGAATCCTCTTCATAAACAGGAGATATTAGGCATGGACACGTTTTCAGCTATATAAATCTTGGTGTGTTTTAGTTTATTTCAAGACTTTAATCTTTGATTGATAGTGTTGCCTTGGTTTGTTCTTGCAAAGTTTTTTAGCTGTAATGATTACTTTTTGCCATCAAGATGATACATAAACAGTCCAGGTGGCATAATAATTGTTGTAATTATAATAATCAAATAATGAAAATGTCATGTGACCAAAGCCAGTACTAATTCCTGAAAAATATTTATCTCAGTTTGCAATGAGCAGAATGCAGGTTGTATGAACTGCATGTAAAAGTGATCTAGAGTGAAGTGAAGTACTAATGGTTATTGACAAATTTTGATCTGGATTATCCCTTTCTTTGTCTAAATAATCCTTCAGAGAAAGCACAATAATTAATCAATTAATTGATTACACTATCAACAGTTTCAGTATGATAGTGCTGTCAGCATTTCTTTCAACAACACAAGGAGGGTATTTTTATTTTTTTCTGTTCACTAGAATTGTGTGTGTATTGTCAAAGTTTCAGTTTCTACTTCTGATTATATTTGACATAGATCTGTGTCAAATATAATCATTGAGCACAAGCCAACAGCTAATTACAAACTCAAAGCATTGTTTTGGTGAGAATGGAGAGCCTTTATTTGAACTGGGCTACAATATTAAAAATGTGGTGAATACGGAGTTGTACTCACATGCAGAACAGCAGGTTGCTCAACACATAAGGGAGGTCTTATGGACATACTGAAAGATTACAATGGTAATCTGCATTAGTATGAAATGCATAGGAAAAAGCAGTGTTTAATTCTAGAAAATGGAAGGAAAACCAACTTTAATATTGTAGAGCCTTCTTTGGGTGTGTCCTGGCTGTCCTCTGATGTATAGTTTCATTTTACTTTAATAATTTAACATTATGTAATTAACCTCTACTTGTTTCTAAAGGGTACACTGCACAACATTATTGCCTTTCCTTTTTAAATAACCATATGTCCCTTGAAACAGTCAGTCCTGGTCCTGGAGCATCCCTATGCTTGCTGTTTTTTTCTTCTAACTGGGCCATTAATCATCAGTGCTAATTGGTGGCTATAATGGATATGCTGGCCTTAAAACTATCTCAAAGTTCAATCTTTCTGACGATTGCAGCTCACAGAACTTGATACAGTTACTTATTAACTTGCCAAAGTAAGATCTTTCTCTTATTTTTAACTGAACATCTCTTAATAGATTGTTTATTCTTAATTGATAAAGAACAAACACAAGTAGGAGTGATACTGTATCAGCTCCCACAGTGAGTCAGTGTTTCTTAAATGTATTACGTTTATTCTTAATTGATGAAGAACAAACACCGGTAGGAGTGATACTGTATCAGCTCCCACAGTGAGTCAGTGTTTCTTAAATTCATTGGTTTAATTTAGTTAATTTAGTTAATCTTAAATTCAGTTGGTTCTATTTCACCTAACACCTCAATGAAGACAGTCCTGAAATTCACTAATTAGCACTGAATCCATATCAGTTACAGAGGGCATTTGAAATTAAGAATATACCTTAAATAGAAAATAGAAATAAATTGGCCTGTAGCTAACAATTCTGCAGGAGAGAAGATAAAAGCCATGTGATTTTAGTCATTTTAAAAATAATCAACAGATGAATTACCTTCAGCAGTTAGCACTGGTAAGGGCCCAGGTGGAACAAAAACCACCAGAAACAGGGGTACTCCAGAACTGAGGACCAATGCCCTAAAGAACTGAAAGATTAGCCTGTCTATAAAGTGCTGAACCTCAGTTTTCACAAGTGTGACTATAACATTGACTATAACTACTCAAAAGCTATTTTTTAAAATAAATGCAAAAAAAATGAATGATCTAATACAGATAATTAATGAATTTCCTTGAACCATTTTTTTAAAGAGCAGTCTGCAGTTTGTTATTAAGCTAATTTTGGATAATTAAAAAAATCACATTACTGAAAAGGCAAACACTTGTTTCTCCATCTCAGACTTGAATATTTTTATAGGACAAATAGTATTATAGGACAAATAATTTGCTTTCCTCTTGTTGTTGGTACTGATTGTAATACAAAGTCTTCTAAGCCACAGAACTGAATACTGATATAATTGTCAGGTGAACTCACAGGTACAGACATCTGTTCACTGATTAGCGCTTAGCTGCATATACCATTTGTTTACCAAATGTGTTAGCAGTATAAAGACAAACAATCTACTCATTCTGCTTAGAGGGAAGGACAGAGGGGAAAAACAAGATTATTATTGTTATTTACTTTAAGCTTGCATTAGACTGTAAATTGGGTGAAGCTTTTAATATGAGCTACTGGGGACTGATTTGATTATTCAATTATCATCAATTATCAAGCAAAAACTTCTAGAAGGATTTGGCTGAGTAGAAACCTCCTTGCATAAGTTTCCTAAGTTTAATTTAGTTTCCACTGTGACTCCAAATTTATAGTGCATGCATTAAACATGGTAATAGGTAGCCTGAAGTGATATTATATTAGTCTGTGTATTTTTAATGAACCTTCTGTTTGAATCCTATCCTTAAGCCTTTGCCTTATCCCTCTGCAACAAGTTCCCTGCTGTCTCCATTGAGGGTCTGCATAGCCACATCTGCGTGAACTGAACTAGATATTGCCTTGGAGATTAGGGCCTTCATCTGTATGAACCAAATGACTGAGCTGGGTTCACCTAATGACAGCTTGCCAATGGTATAATGAAGCAAGGCCTCTAGATTTGGCTCGAGCTCTGGCAGGCTGCCTAATGACAGCAAACCCTTCTTGAAGTTTACTTTTGATCTGCTAGAGTCAACAGCAGCTTCTCAGCGGTTTCAACAGATGGGCCCTTAAATTTATCAAATAAAGAATTGGCCTCTCCACATACTTTTAATTAATATTGGCTCTTTTAACATGACAGAGTACTTAATTAAAAAAGCACTTACTGTACAAATCCAGCAGGCGCTAGTGGAAATGAAAGGGCTCTGCTTGTGAGCTCCTGAAAAGATACTGTAGGGATCATACCCCGTAGGGCGTTGAGGAAGCATAATTTTTCCTGTCATTGCCATATATTAAATGTGATAAGCTATAAGTGCTATTCTTAAAAAAAAAAAAACTTTTTTGAAACAGTAGTAGTATGTTTGCTTCTGTAAATTGGATCTCTCCTGTACATTAAATCAAACCACTGGCAGTGAAAATTCTGGAAGAATGATCAAAGTAAGGGAATGATTAATTGTCTAATTTCAGTGATTTGAATATGTTACCCATGCTATTCATTTAAAGTATGAGAAATATATGGCCACATTAAGTCCAGACTCCCTACCTCTCTGGACCCTCTCCAGTTTGTGTATCGTCCCAAGTGGTCTACTGATGATGCCGTATCCCTTCACCTTGCCCTGTCCCACCCAGATAAGAGAGACACTTATGTGAGAATGCTGTTCATTGACTTCAGTTCAGCATTCAACACAATCATTCCCCAGAAACTGAGAAAAACTGAGCTGGCTGAATCTCAACGCCTCCCTCTGCAACTGGACTCTGGACTTTTTGATTGAGAGACCTCACAAAGTCCAGATTGGAAACAACATCTCTAGTACCACGATACTGAACACTGGAACCCAGTCCTGTTCACGCTGATGACTCATGATTGCTAAGAGAGAGAGATCACTTTATTAACCATATACTGTACAATTTCTTGCATTAGGAATTTGTCTTTTTGCATACCCCAGCTTGCTCTCCATGAGACACACAGGCACCCAGATGGGGAGAGAAAAGCTCAGGGTCAGAGCACAGGGTCAGCCAATTATACTGTACCCCTGGAACCATTGGGGTTAAGGGCCTTGCTCAGGGGCACAACAGATTAAGACTCCTCTGCCGGCTGCAGGATTCAAACCGGCAGCCTTCCAGCCACAGGCGCAGATCCTTACCCACAGTGCCACTGCTCCGCTCCTAAGCCCAGTGCAAATTACATCATCAAGTTTGCTGATGACACGACAGTGGTGAGCCTCATTAGTAACATCGATGAGGCACCATATAGAGAGGAGGTGAAGCAACTAGTGGACTGGTGCTTAAACAACAATCTGTCTCTGAATGTAGATAAGACAAAAGAGATGATAATTGACTTCAGGAGGGCTCGCACTGATCACCCCCCCCCACCACCACCACCCAACTACACATCAACAGCTCCCCTGTGGAGACAGCTAGAAGTACTAAGTTTCTTGGTGTGCATATCACAGATGACCTTACTTGAACCATCAAAACCCCCTCCCTAGCTAAAAAAAACACAACAATTTCTTCACTTCCTGTGGCGACTGAGAAGGGCAAATCTCCCCCCCCCCCCTCAATACTATCCACGTTCCATAGTGGTACCATTGAGAGCATCTTAAATAAACTGCATCAGTTTGGTTTGGAAATTGCAAGGCCTCAGTCCCTGCAACAAATTATCAATATGGCAGGAAACATCATTGGAGCCTTCCTTCCGCCCATTCAGGACATATACCACAAACGCTGAACGCACGAAGCCTCCAGTATTGTGGACGATCCCTCCTACCCCTCCTTTGCCCTCCTGCCATCTGGAAAAAGCTATCGCAGTATACTGGCTAGCTCCACCAGACTCCATAACAGCTTTTTTGCACAGGCTGTCAGGCTTCTCAACACACTGGTACTTGCTGCACATACTCCAAATCTGGAAACTTAGTTCTTTTTTGCCTAATGTCAGGTATATTGTCTGATGTATTCTTTGCACAATTCTTAGCACAATCATGTAAAGTAAATTGCACAATGCCCACTGCACTTTATGTACCCTGTCAGAAATGTCTATGTCTGCATTGTCTTAGCATTGTCTTGTCTGTATTTGCACCACATTGCACTCTATGTACCCTGAACCGTGTCAGAAATGCCTACTGTATGTCTACATTGTCTACAGCAGGGGTGCCAACCAGTCGATCGATCGCAAGAAATAAAAAAATTAATAAATGGGCTATCTGACTACTTTTTTGATAGCCTTAAAATTTATTCAGATCTGTGCATGGTAATGTCATACATTTTACTGCCCTTGTGTGTGTTTAACCATTTTGAATGGGTTGTAAAAGTCTCTTCCCTGAGTGCTGGCTGACACTGAAAAAAAGGCTGCAGGAGATCCATAAATAAAGAGTATTGTGTGTGCTACCCACGAGCAGCAGTTGGTTTTCGAGAGGCCTAATACAAGATGGAAAGCAGTAGTAATAAAAAAAAGCATTTGATGACGCTGCTGACTTGCTGTTGGAGATTTCAAAAACGAACATTTTTGGCGAGGTTCAGACAGTTGTAGCCTGAAATCAATGTGTTTCTCAAGTCCTCTATATATGGTGAATTAGAGGATGACCAGTAGCTTCTGGATTTAGCATTCCGCACAGACTTTAATGAACTGCTGAATGTGGAGCTGCAGGGACACAATAAAAATGTCATCGACAAGATGAACAGTATCAACACGTTAAAAAAAATACAAGTTTTCCCAAGTAAGCTTCTCGGTGCCAATACTCACATTAAGGTAGGACATTCTTTTTTCTAAAATTGGGAACATTACTTGTTCACTGTAGGATGAGTCACTTGCTTTTATTTGATGTCATTTTAGTGATGGGTATTGTTATTGTACTGTGTACAATATGTCTCCACAGTCTGTTTTCCCTATATCAGAGCTTCATATTCACACTGGTAGATTGTGCTAGACTGACAAATGAAAAAGTAGATCTTACATTAAGAAAGGTTATGAGCCCCTGGTCTATAGCATTATCTTGTCTTGTCTTGTCTGTATTCGCACTGTAGACCTGGAGAACGATATCTCGCTCCTCTGTATACTCGTATATGGCTGGAATGACACATAAACTTGAACTTGAAAGAGGGTATCCATGCCCTCTTTTCCACTGGTCCCTTTAGTCCAGTCATTGGCTGTGACTCTCACTGCCCAGTTGGTTATGGGATGCTAAAATCAAGTAATACTGAGATAAGCATGGAGTCCTCAGCTTGACTCCCAACACTTGTGCGTTCCTTAGTAGATGTCTAACATCATTGAATTGCTGTCAATGAGAAATATATCAGTAACTGCTGTGATCTCTGTCTAAATTCTACACTTTTCACCAAACCGAGTAAGAAAACTTTAGGCTATATTGTGAAACTGCAAATTCAAATCAAAACAGTTATGTTAAATTTATACATTTCTGTAACGGGATAGTTGTGTTGCTTGGTTCACATGTACAGATGTGGGCACTTACTCCAGTGCATAACTTTGCTCTAATTAATCAGGCCATTGACCCTCTCTAAACAACACAATAGTGCACAGTCCATTCACGACAGCTGCTTTGTTACTGTTGCATGGGTAAGACTTCATTCCTGTAATGCTTTTAAGGGATTCTTATAGTTAATATAACTGGATTTTTTCTTGAGTAAAGAAGACTGTGTGCTTGTATGTATATATGTATTTAAAATTTGGAAAGGTATTTACAGTCAAATAAGAGAACTACTGTATTTCACAATGAAATGACAATAGGAAACTAAAGGGTTTACACAAAGCAGAATAGAGGTCTAGAACATATTACCCTGCTGGGTTGTTGAAGTAAGATTTCCATTTCAATTAATGGCCAGATGCTTGAACCAATAAAATACTAGCACCAAAATGAGCAGAGATGGAATAAATCAATTCCATAAATCATCACAAGGCCTATAAAATACTTTATTTCATCTTGCTGTTTGATTCGTGAAGATGCTGATCATGCAGGAATTCATATTGCAATTGGCAACAACAAAAATTGATTTTCTATTTGATTTAGGATAACATTATGTTTATTTCACAAATATTCCTAAATATTTCATGGTGAAATTTCAGCAATTACAGAAACTGAAGAAAATGACTGTGTGCTTTGCAGTGCTTGTTGGGAACCATGAAGTACCCTGTGTTCTGCACTCAAAGTTCAATGTTTTTGGTTCTCCTAGTCATTTTTTTAACCTTGGTTTTGTCCTTTCTATCTAGTGCTGGCAAGAGACTGTGACACAGGCCAAAACTCTGAGATTTCCTTCTTCATCCAGAGCAATGATTTTGACATCACACCCCAGGGAGTTATTAGCTCCAGGCAGCAGCTGGACTATGAGCGTGTAAATCACATGTATGAGTTTGTGGTGATGGCTGTGGACAAGGGCTACCCTTCCAGAACTGGCACTGCGTCCGTGCGAATCCGAATGGCCAATGTTAATGATGAGGCTCCTGTCTTCTCCCAAGCTGTGTATGGAAGCTTATTTTTCTCTTTAACCAGGGCTGAAATTAATGAAAGTAGTAAAATGACTGGTGATGTATTATGTATATGTTAGCTTTTATAGATATTATACAGTATCTAAAACTATGAGAATGGAAAAAGTCAATACAATAAAAATAGTAAATCTCCAATATAATATATTGATATTGGTCATTGCATTTTGCTAAAACTGTTAAGTACTGTTAAGTATATATTTTTCATGATTCTCTTCCTGACCACTATGAATTCTGATCATTTAAAGTTACCCATTTAGTGCAAATGAGTGTGTGTCCTTGAGGCAGCTGTGTATCTTATGTTCATTGCAGCTCCTAGGAAAAATAATTTCTCCAGATCTTGGAGAAAGCTTGAAGTGCCTGCTGCCTGTAGACATTTCTTTTCATTTAATTTCTTTAGCAGCTGTGAGCAATGTAGACATCAGCCTCATGGACACACCCTGTCCACCCCTGATGCACTACCTTCAAGTTGACATCTTGACAGTCATAACTGTTGATTAGGGGTGTGTACAGTTCTTGTATTCAAAGCACTGGCCTGTTTTAGCTTCGATTCCAAAGTTCTTTTAGGGAAGCAAGGAAAAAGGCCTGAGGTTACTGTCTTTGGTGGCAATGCACTTTAAATTTCAGGACCCATATAAAATTACTCTTTCTCTTTGTGACAGCTACAAGTCTTTCCTTTCTGAGGACGCTGGTCCTGATACTCTAGTGGCCATTGTCCATGCCAAGGACCCTGATGGAGATGCTGTGACATATGCTATCACAGGGGGAAACGAGGACAGCAACTTTGAGCTGGACAGTCAGAAAGGTGGGCAGAGACAATAGTGTGGCTCAGCTGCTATCTTTTCCTTTCCAAGAAACACAGGTCAAATTACTATAGAAAAAAATATGGCTTATAATCAATTTGAAATGTCTGTTAAAAACTAAAATGTAATTATTCTCCATTCTCAACATAGTCCTGTTTTTAATAAAGGATTGTCAGTGGGCTCTGTCTTTATATAAAAACAAACACCCCGGTGCTCTGGTTATCATTTGTTTACAAGTGCCTTTGCCTGAAAGGGGGAAATGCTGTCTGATGTTAAGCTCCTCTTCCTTATCACATGGTTGCACGGCTTCTCCAAGATTTAGTTTATTACAGGCCAACTAAACAGATGGCCCCTGGCTTCCTCACTGTTAAATTGTGAAAAGTTGTCACTTCAAAGAGTTAGCAGCTTTTTTATTTATTTATGTGATTATATATTTATTTTTTGTACATATTGCAAAGGGAAATACATCAAAGTCCAACAGCATAGTCTGGTGTTGTACTACATTGTAAAGAATGTTGAACAAAGGCAAATATTTTCCTTTCATAGCAAAGTATTTTTTATACATTTGTATATACAGTATTTTTTTTTCTGTGCCACTCTGCTGATTTGTGAGTGATAATTAGAAGCATGCATTTAAAGAAAGACTAAAGGAATTATGTCCAGAAGCAAAATGGATCACAAGAAAGAGTTCCTGTGAAAGCTGTAAAAATATTTTTAAAGGCTGACTTTTTTCACAGGTTTAAAATCATTTGTTAAATTAATTGCGTTAAGGACACATTATCAGTTTGATTATAAATCAAATGTTTTCTTAATTTAAATATTATTTTATAATCTCAAGTGGAGGACCTCATTCATAAAGATTAATTAACTCAATCTTCTGAAAAAAAGAAAGACTTTTTACTGTGAGTTAACATTAGTGCTTTTTTCTGCCTGTAAGTCTTGAATTAGCCTGAACGATTTGTGACATCTACTGTAGCATCTTCATAGTAAAATATAATTTTTATTACAGCTTTATTGTTTTTTTGTTAGGGAAAACACAGGTGTAGATTTAATGTGATGTTAAATGGTTTAGGAATCTGTACCTTAGTTCTTAAACTCACTTATTACCAAAAACAGCTTTTATCCTGTGAGGAATGTATAAAAGGTAAGCATCTTAGTCCCTCGTGGGAAAATAAGTTTTGTAGGTCAAAGAGTAATACCTCAACAAAATGTAGTGAAGAACATCAAAAAAAAGAGAGATTGAGGGATGAGAGTTACAAAGTGTAAATGGAGTGTTATGATCTAAAATAACAAGGTCATCTGATGGAGGCCTTTATCTTGCTGAAGATGACAATGGCTGTTACCAGAACAGAAAGTCAGGTTGTTTTGGAACACCATACTGATATTTCTGAAACACAGTGACTTTCCTAACATGCTCCTTTAGGGATTATCAAATTGCGTAAGAGTCCCTCACCTAAACTCAGAGGACCCCAGTATATCTTGAACATCACAGCCACAGATGACAATTCTGCAGGAGGACCCCAGGCGCTTAGCAGCTCAGCCCAGGTCATTGTGGGGATCAATGACATCAACAACAACAAACCAATCTTTGAGGAGGTGAGACTCGGTAATCCATGGTGACACGGTAAAGTCATGAAAAAGTGTTGAACATGTTATGAATATCCTCTGTATAAACCAGTATGAGTTTATGATAAATTACTTTAATCATAAAGTTTCATGAATAACATATGATGAGGTTAAGGGGTGAAACTGTAAATTTTGTTTCCTCTTTAGAGAGGACATTGAAGATATAAGTCTGCCTCTGCCTTTGTAACTAATGATGACAGAAATAAAGAGCAGCCCATCTATATGTAAAATGCAATCAATAGCTGGATCTTACTACAGCACAGTGTCAAACACAATTCCTGAAAGTTTCCAAATGCCTTTTTCTGTTGATCCAATGAGCTCTCAGTGACTTAATTGCTTGTTTGATGAGTGAAATGATTTAAACACTTCTCCAAGGCCATTAGAATGCAAATACCAGGAAAGACCTGACTTCATATTTATCCCTACCTGTTTGACACAAAGGTCCCATTGGAAGGGCCATCTGATCGGCTGAATGAGTAATGGCACTCATGCAAACACAGACTGGGCTCTTTGATCATATGATCATTTGCTTGAGCCTCGGTTATGTCACTCGCAGACTGACTTGGATTACATTAACAGTGGCATACAATTAACTGAGCGCCACCCAGGGTAAAGCAAAATCAGTCATGACTTTAGTCTTGGCTTTCAGCGACACAGCAACACAGTGACCTTGGTAGCCTCCCATCTCAATGAGCAGAGAGAGCTGTTGGCTTTTCCTCAGTTCCACCGAATGAAGATATCTAGTCTACAGTATGTCAGATTAAAGATTAACCGGGCTCTCATGACAATTGTTTTAAGTCTTAAGGAATCTAAAGAATTGAATGAAGACAGAAGGCACCTTTTTTTAAAAGATATCTCAGAAAGTATGTCTGAAGCAGAATGTAGACATTTATGTTCATTTTACAATCTAATATCTCTGTTTCCTTGCCTTTTAGTGTCATACATACAGTGTAAATGCCTTTGTCCAGGAGAACCAACCTCCAGGAACCTTTGTGCTGAGGGTGGATGCCTATGATGCAGACACAGGAGTGAACGGAGAGGTCAAGTATGGAATAATGCACCGAGATGGAACCACCTCAGGATTTGTCATCAATCCAGATACAGGTAATGGATCTCCTTCCCCAAAGGATGTCAGCAACTTGTCAGCACATGGATCTTTGAGATTTTGTTGGAAATATTTCCATGTTTTATCCCAGAGTCAGGTCATGTAAATTAAGATTACACTCAGAAATTATTACATCAGATTTCTGTTAAACAGGCACATTTGCTTATGGTATCAAACATCACCATAGTCTATATCCAGCGGTACTAAAAGTACAAACACAATCATACAGTGATGAACATCCTGATTCTTTAAGGAAATTGGAACTTAAATTTCCTCAAGTTGAATGGATTTCTGTAATAAAACCTGTATAAAAAGTGCAACACATATTTGTCTTTGTACTTTTTTCAAAAAAGGATAGAAGACACATAAAAGATAAAATATGCTAAGTCAGAGTACATATAGTTTATTTTCTAGATGCTGTATTTTCAGTAATTCTATGGCTTATATCAATCTTGACAAACCTTCAGGAAAAAAATCTCACAAAATGCTTTGTGAGTATACTGTAAACCATGAAGACTGTTAAGGTTTCCTTTTGAAGTTTGTACATTGATCCATCTCTATATTTTTTTTCTTATCTAGCCCAAAATATTACAAAAGAACTAAGGAAATATAGAGGTTCTGGTTGCATGTAGCATGTTTACATGGAAGGTGAAATGAGTTTGTGAAGATGCAAATCACAACTAATAATAGATTTGTGTCTCTCCTAAATAAACTGGATCAGAAATGATCAAACTCATCCTAAACTGCGGTGTGATTTGTTTTTGCTGTTTGTGTGCAATGCTACAGGAGACATCAGCACTGCCATGAGCTTTGATCGGGAGAAGCAAAAGGAATACACACTCTCAGTGACAGCCACGGACATGGCTCAGGAGCCTCTCATTGGGATCTGCCAAATAACTGTCATGATTGCTGACGAGAATGATAATGACCCAAAGTTTGAAAACAGCCGCTACCAGTGTACGTACAGAGGAAGATGTGCTATTTGCTGCTTTAGTGAATCACATGATTTTTCAAGTTGGAAGCATTATTATAATTATTCTTCTCTCATGAGAGATCAGGTGGTTAGTCAAAAGGCAGTCCTAGTAAAGCTGCATAAAGTCCACTAAAGGTTGGTCTATTATTTATTGCACTGGAATTTCAACTCTGGTTCAGACATTAGCTTAATTTGCTGTAGTTAATGTACATAGAAAAGTAATTTAATTTGAGCATCTTAGCTATAATTTAGCATACCTACATAAAAGTATACAAAATGCATTCTGTTGTGGTATCCTTTATGTGCTTTGGTATTTTTTCAAAGGCCCCAAAAGATGGTTGTTCAAAGTTGACAAGCTTAATGTTTTTCACATCCTTTACCTAAAGAAAATTATAAAGCATATACTGTATAAAAGGGACTCTTCTACAAAATAAACTAGCTATGAAAAATGTCCTAAATTGTGTTGCTTCTAAAGTAAGGCCTAGAGCATCTGGATGTTACATTCGTTGCACAACAGATTTGATGTGACAAGCAAATGTGGTTTACAACGTAAAACATATAGTCCCAATACTTCCTTTGATGCTGCAGGCTGAATAAAGGAGTAAAAACTGGAAAGTTTATATTAGGCTATCCCAGGAGAATCTGTACTTAGGTTAAATATTTAAATATCTACTGTACCTTTTACTCCAAATGAAATAGTATGGGCAGGACTTTATTGCCTATACAGCTCATAAATGCATCCAAGGCTTTAAAGTTTAATTTGATAATTCTGTTTTACTTAGAGTTCACTAAGGTATTGGCATACTTTTTCATTCAGTGTTTTACTCAATACAAACCTTTTTTAATTTAAATTTATATTAAATTTCTTTAAAACCATTTTTTAATGATGAAGGAAAATTCTTCTATATTGTGATTTACTTTCAGGCTCCCCTATTTGGCTTGTTGTATTCAGGTACTTAGATTCATGTTTCAAACCCTTAAATGTTTTTTTTCCTAAAGAAAGTAATTTGCAACTAAATAACTAAAATTCACTACTTATGATAATTTTCTTCTTCAGTATTGTACATGTATCCCCTTTTCTGCAGTATAACATAAAAATTATAGGCATCAATTTTAAGTTTGCACTTCAATTCAAGATAGCCCATGCAACATAATGTTCTACCAATTGAATAGCTGCACCATCTTGACAGTTTGTGGGCTTATTAACACCATGAAGTGTTATGCCATTGAGGCGTAAAGGTCTGTTTTTTGCAAACTACTTATTTCAGAACAGAAAGTGCTCTTTGTTCTTTTTTTCTTCCATGTTGCACTAAAAGATGTTTTTGTAGCCCATCTTTCTTTTTCTTTCATAAACATAAAATAATGCCAATTTACCTTCATTCTCACATTTGTGGTGTACCAGCCCTATTCTGTGATCAGCTATCACTATTTTGAAATGTCCTTGCCACCGCATGTATTCTCAGCTTTTTTAACTTGTTTTTATTTTTATGTAAATGCCTCACAGATTTGCCTGTAAACTTTTCTCTCTTAACAGTTGGAGTATGTTTATGGTTTTATTTTCTTTTATGCCTGAACATTTAACTTAAGGACGTAATATGTTAACAGTAATTCTTTGGAAGGCTGGTTCTAAAAAAATACATGTTTTTTAGAACCAACTCTTTGTTTCAGTTGGATGCATTATTGGTGATCCTAATGAGTTGTGCTTTCTCAGATTTCCTGCGCGAGGACACTCCTGTGGGGACAAGTTTCTTGCGAGCCGCAGCCCACGATGATGACCAGGGGCCCAATGCTGCTATTACCTACTCCCTGTCTTACCAGCAGCCCGCCTACTTACACATTAACCCAAACACTGGCTGGATTTATGTCAATCATCCCATCTCCCAGGTTAGTGGAAGTCCCATGAAGGATGTTACACACACACCAACTTAGTCTTGGTCAGTGTGTTGCTGTGACAGTGTTATCTAATGGTTTAGTTTTTTTGTCATTGAATAGTATTAAAAAAACACCTGAAGTTACCATTATACTTGATAATCTGTACTTGAAGCCATACTCTATGTCAGTATGAACTTGTAAAACGTTAAATTAATTAGTTACTTAATACGTTTTTGTTTCCATTTGGAGTTTTCCATTTTGAATTTGAGTACAGATTTACTGTAAGTATTTTTTCTGATATTCAACTAAATTCATTTAATGCATTAATCATCAGACACTACCATGATATTTTTCAACTTTTAAATTGGAATTTTAAATATATTGGAATTGCCCTTGGACAGGACACCCAGGTGTCTTCCATTGGAATACAAAAACAGAGGCCGTCCTTGTATCCCCATATGGTTAAACAATTTGAAGGGGCTCACATCATTATCTGACATTAGTACAAGTAGGTAGATGCGTCAGCATGTGTAGACTTCAAAGGCATACTGTAAGTAAAGGTTTATTCAATGCTGAAAAGAAGAAAAGAAACATAACATTTCACCTGTGGAGCCTTTTTTCGAATGTGACACCCGAATAAACCTTTGCTTGTTCCTGATTATCTGACATTAACGGACAACTGCAAAAGCACTACAAGGGTTGGATAAAACAGTATTTTATTATGGTTTTCTTAGCTTTTGACAAAACAGTGACTCCTGTGATTGCCAAGGTATCTTTTGTCAGCCCACAGTTGTGTTAATGACAGACTCTCCACTCTTCCAATCATCCATCTCCCCTGTTAGTCACTGTGAAGCTTGCAGTTTCTCAGAAATAATTGACTATACAGTACGTAGTGGCTGTAAGGAGGGTGAATATCTTAAAAGTCATCATTCTTCCTGTGCGGTACAGGGCTGTGTCCCAATGTGCATACTTGTCGTCTTGTGCCCTTCATATGCCTGTTCCTGCTCAGGTCTGCAAGAGCTTAGGGTGTCATATTTATACATTTGTGTTTAACAAGGGTACTAACGAGTAACCCCCCCCCCAATGTGCCATCGGAGCGGACTCACCTGAAGAGAATTAGCCCCACTTCCTCAGGAGACGGTCATATTTCATGTTGTAGCCTATCAAAGCAAAGAAAAGTTGCAATGGAGAATAAAATATTAATGCTTTAGTAAAAGTACATTTTTTTACACTTTTAAAACTTACAATAATTTATGTAAAAACAAAATTTCATGACAGTTCTTCATATTCATACTGTATGTATTCTATGTACGAAGTGCTGACATTTCGTTACACCATTTCAACTGATGAATATTCGTTTACCTCCGGTGTATTTTGTACAGGGAAAGACAAAGTATTTTATACTACAAAGCTTTGAGGCATTGCCAGGTTTACCTTTTTGAGTATACTTTAACCACTTCGAATCAGTCATGTTTAAAGTGAATGAATGCATAATGTTCCTCGTACTGTCGTTTTTGTATTCGGTCAGACGAGATTAAATGTATTTAATAATATAAAGTTTTGAACAAACTGAGAGCAGTATTGCCAAGTTTTTCTTAGTTTGCCCGATTTGAATCCAGTCTATTGTAACGCAAATGGCCTCCATTGCTTGCGAGAGCTGGCTTACCAGAGTGGTGACGTCACCACCCTTCCCTGTGAGTAGCAGGGCCCGCAGCCGCTGGGCTGAAGGGAGATTTCCCATAGGCTCAAGAGGCTGGGTCCCTGTTGAGTGACGCTGGAGGCCTGGGTTCGAGTCCCTGATGGTGGGGGGCCGACCTGATGCGGCAGCAGCGAGGGTGCCCACGTGAACCCCGAAGCGTTACATTTGTTGTTAGAGTGGGATGGGATAGCCCTTTGCTGAGGTCCTGAGTTAAGCGGGGGAGAGTGTAACGCATACTGCCTCCATTGCTTGCGAGAGCTGGCTTACCAGAGCAGTGAAGTCACCGCCCCTCCCTGTGAATAGCAGGGCCTGCAGCGGCTGGGCTGAAGGGAGTTTTCCCTTTGGCTCAAGAGGCTGGGTCCCAGTTGAGTGATGCCGGAGGCCCGGGTTCGAGTCCCTGACGGTGGGGGGCCGACCTGGTGCGGCAGCGGTGAGGGCGCCCACATGAACCCCGAAGCGTTACGCTATGTAACATGAATCAACATGATATGTCACCACTTGTATGCAGATGGCATTTTCTTAAAGTAAACTGCGAGCGGAGAATTGAAAATTATTTAAACAAATCTCTTCTGACCAGCACTTGGGCACTGCAGCAGCAACAACAGAAAATATTTTGACCGTGCAACAGTGTCCCATTACTCTAATACCGGTGCCCCTGGAATGCTTGGGCGCTTACCACAGTTGTGCATCGTCACAGAAGACCGGTCTTGAAGGAAGTGCTTCGGGCGCAGTGTGACTGAGACATGGCCTACTGTAGATGTCATGCCGTAGCTGACAGCAAAGTCATAAACAAGCAGTAATTCCACATTTCTTGAGTAAATAATAAAAAATAATTGGTGATTCCAAGTTTAGAAAAAACTTAAATGTCAATGAAGACTAGTTCTCATATCAATTGAGAACTTGCACAGAGGTCAAAGCGCATGTGAGAAACTCAAGGCAGTAAAAATAAAGTAAAAATAGTTTTTTATTTATTGAGTGTAATGAAAGTCATGTGCAACTGAAAATAAACACTGAAATATGAAGGTTTCAACTCTTTATCATGTTTATTAAATTATTTATTGATGCTGGTCTTCTATTTGCAGAAATGTTGGTTTCTTTTTTGACACAAATAACTTTTTTGCTATTTGGTAGCTCGGTGCAGGTTGTCTGAAATTCAAGAGCCATGGTTTGATGTGAAATCACTTCCTATCACACCTACAATGTGGGACAAGGAAGTGGACCGTGATCTTAAGATCTTGACAGCTCTCTGGCTTTGTTGCATTAACAAGGGAGCTACAGTAAATGGGGTAGGGTGATTGCCAACAATCTAGATCAAATGAGAGCCACCTGGGAATGTTCTACTGCACCATCAGGTGTTGTACAACCATATTACATTTATTCACCATTGCTGCTCTACAATGAAAAGGTTGAGCTGCCAGTTGCAACTGGTTGCAACTGATAAGTTTCAGTTGAACTTTTGCCTGGACTGAAATATTTATGCATATTTCATATCCAACAACTTTTAGCTTTTAAGTTGTCTTCCCCTGAATGATTATTATCGTTTCAGACAAAGCCTGAGGCAGATAGACAGGGGAGCTACAGTATTCTGTTAATTTGTGCTATGTGTCTACTTTACCCCTACTTTAAATAGTGTACTTATCTCAATATAGGTCATTTAAATGGGTCCAGGTCTGAGACTTGTTTTTACAAGTGCTACCTACTGTATTACTGCCACACTTTTGTCAGATGAAATCATGTTTTGAACTCCATGGCATGTCAGGGGAAGTTATCTACAGCTGCTCCCAGATGTTGTCTGTTCAGGTTTGTTCTTGTAAAATATCGTTGCTTGACCCGAATAATGCAAAATTTTGGAAACTTTTATTCATGAGTTCACTTAAGAATTGTTTTTTGTTAATGTTTATTTCGTGTATTAATGGTAATGGTCTATGATAAGGAGGAAAACATTGAAATACAATGTGCATTCACTCACCACACCTGTGAAGCCATGGCAGCAGCACATGATTTGGCCGGGGGTGGAGTTAAAAAATAAGTCCCAACCTGTTAAATATGTTTGGTTGATAATTTACTAATTTGCTTAACTTATTGACTTACTCTCATATTTTAAAGAGGAATCATGGTAGTCAAGTGATTAAAACTTATTCAACAGTATCTAGTTAATTTTTGCAGATGACTTTCCTTTATTTTGAACAATTACTCAACCTGCTTGTGTGTTGTTGTTTGGGTTAATTGTAAATATCACTCAGTTTATCTTTTGTGAAACACTCTGGATTTAATCATCTACTACTAATTATTATTTGGTAGTTGTGAAGTGAGCAGGATTAAACTTTAAGAAGATTCAAGATTATAAAATGTAAAATTTTAAAATGAAAAATTGATTTAAAATGAAGAATGTTTTTTGATTAATTTACTTTTTATCAATAACAGTTTGAGGTTATTGTAGATACAGGAAGAACTCTTCACGTGACAGAGATCAGAGATAAAGCAGTTTCACTCTTTCTTCTCCACAAGACCTCACAGATTAGTCAGCAGATCATCGCCAAGGATGGAGGAAATAGAAGCAGCTCCGTGGAGCTGACAGTGATCATCACTAATGTGCACAACCAGCCACCTCAGTGGGAGCAGGACCAGTATTGGGTCACTATTCCAGAAAACACTGTGCGGGACACAAAGATAGTGGTAAGGGCATAAAGACTTTCCTGTTGTTATTACTAATGTGCACAATCACTTAATTTTGATTGACTTTATCAAAAGCCTTATGTATAATCTGAATTTAACATTGTTTTGTTCTGGTTGTATCCATTTGTACTGTTGCTTCTTCAAACAACTCTCATGTGCCAGTTAAGCAAGACATAGTTTCTCTAAATCCATACTGACTATCCTTGAGAATCTTACTACCATTCAGTTAAGTTATTATTATTATTATTTCCATAACCTTATATGCATCCTACTGTATTATGCAGCAAGACCTACTGTATAGACCTATGGGGTCTATAATAATCAGTCTTACACAATGTTTTTTATGGACATTTCTCCAGCCAATGATTATTACTTGTGTCTTAAGCAAATGCTAGAGGAATGTTGCTAATAACATATGAATAACATGCTCAAGGTCCAAGAGTTTTGTTCATTTTTATGCTTCTATTACCTGAAACACTTCTGCCTCTTCTGTTACTTAATATAGAACTGTGTCTTTCCTCAGCAATAGGCAATTTATCGCTTGCTTCCTTAGTGAACACCTGACTGAAACATTCTTTTAATACATTAACCATTTCCTTTCATCTTCTATATGTCTCCCATTATTTCTGCATCCTTTCCTCATTTTTTTTACTGTCGTCATATTTAAAAAAAACTTTAATTATTATTTTCTCTGTCTTTCTTGGCCATTTATATACATGGTCTTGCAATGCTCTGTACCTTTCTTTAATTGTGCATTTTGTAGCGAACACATCTAAAATGAAACTAAACCTTCATTGGCTTTAATTGAATTGTGTTTCTCTCATCATTGGCAGACCATTGTAGCTTTAGTTTTTTGCTCAGCCTGAATGACTGGCACCTTTTCAAGGCCTGGAACAGTGAAAGAATCTGTTCTTGTACTTGAAGGGGAGTTTACAGGTTGAGCCACCACCTTCATACTATATTTTCTTTAATTTATATTGTTGCCTACTTTTTGCTAATGTTGGGTGAGACATTGTGTAATTGCATAAATAACACATATTTACACCTAATTGTTATGCTTTTGTGGGTTGGTGGTGTGGTGGTCCAGTGTTTGTGCCTCACAGCTTTTGGATTCATCTATTATGTACTGTAGCACCTTCTGTGTGTAGTTTGCATGTTCTTCATGTGTCTGTGGGTTTTCTTCAAGTGCTCTTTTTTTGTCCTACTTTCTGAAGACAGCCTAGACTAGGTTCATTTGTGTCTCTGAATTGTCCCATTGGTATGTCCCTTTGATGGACTTGGAAACTGCATCCTATTCTGTATTGTGCATTTGTACCTTCTATTGTAGGCTTCTGGCATAGGTTGTAGGTTGCACCACATACCAGGAATAATCACTGTTGGACTTTATGCAACCATCCATCAAGTTGGCTTTTTTAGTAAGCCTGAAGTAAACTGCTCCAAAAAAGAAACTGAATGTATAAACACACCATGTCATTGATTATTGTAAGTCATACATTTTGTGAGCTGTAGCTACATATTTCTCATGAAAACTGGTGTTTAAGAAAATCATAAGACTCATTGCACAACCATAAATTCATATTAAGAATGTGCCTGTCCCATACACAGTAATGACATAGTTAATCTGCACAATTAATCTGCAATCTGCATAAAATGCAGTTAAGCTTTGAATATATTTTGAACAAAATGCTTTAAACTGTTTCACTGTCATTAAAACACTATTAATGCATGTCTCAGACTATCATAATTTCAATGATAGTACAAATTCAGGAAGTTCAGTATCCAATGTAGCCACAAAAAAATATTTTAGATGGATCAAATCATGCACATAAGAACATGAGAAATATTACAATGGGAGGAGGCCATTCAATCCATCTAGCCCATTTGGTAGTTAGCTAATTAATGCAGAACACTGTGCAGTGCTGTAATATGCAATGTGCTGTGTATTTTACACCTTGAAAAATAACGTTATCATTCCATGTACAGTTACCCTTTAGAAGCACTGTGGAAGCACATTTTAGAAGCACATTGTTTTGTTTTTGCTAATGTATATTTTACACTTGTGAATTACAGTAAATGCCAGACTTTCAAGGCTATATTTCTTAATTCATTAAGGGACGAAGCCCCACATAACCATACATCTGTCTTGTAATCTGCTCCCCCTTTGGGACCACCTTCTATAGATATTTTAGTTTTCTTGCAGATTATATACAGTAATCACAGTACTTTTAAACTTATGCTTGACTTTCATTTTTCAGCATTTTGAATTGGAAGTTTTCAGGTAAAATATTTCATGTTTACAAGCACAGCTGGGTTTGTGTAAAGTGTTGTAATGTGAGGGGTGAGTAATTTGCTGACATTAATTAGCTGAAAACAAAGCAGTCTGTTTTCATTTACCCTGTTGGTCAGTTTTCATCATGTGAGCACAGTGCTTCCACCTTAAACCAATACTTGGAAAAACACAGCTCAAAATAGTGAAGATGTGGATTATATTTTTAATACTTTTTTACACATTGACAAGAAGTGAAGGGCAGATTAAATTATACATGACATTAAGACGCTGTGATATTTTGCCCTCACATCAGTTAAATAAAATACTCTGAGCTTAATAATGGTCTCTCATTGATCTGGCCTGTGCTTTCAAAAGATCCTTAATTACGATATTAATTTCTCACATCTTATTGTACATCTCATTATTTGTTGTAGGTGGATTGAAGCAGGTAATAAATTTGCCCAAGTCCACAGATTTCCCATATACCATTTCTTCAAGCCTGGTCTATATCAGATCCTTTCAAAGCACTCAAATGTTTAAAATATCATACTTAAATATACATTTCATCATGGCCTACAGCTGAGCAGTGGCAACAAGCTGTGATTACTATTGTAGTTTTTTGTTTAAATATAGAAGTGTTAATATGATCTCCTAATTACATTGTTAACAACTAGATGCAGATGCAACAGTCTGCATATAAATGAGGTCTTCCCAGAATATGAGGAACTCTTCTGTCACGATTGTAAACCCCTCCTCTTAAGGTCGCTCCAGCTCTTCCTTGTTCAGTACTCATTCCCTGCACCTGCCTCTGGTTCCTCCCCCCGTCCTATAAATGCCGGGCGCTCACTCTGTTCCAGGCTCTGCGTTGGTTCCCGTACCAGGTGAGTCCGGGACCTGGAAGCACCTGGTCCCATCAAAGTTTTAAAGTTCCTGTTCCTGCCGGTTCCGACCCGGTTCCTATTTTAATTCTGTTTGTCTTGGATGGACCGCCCGGTTCTGGATTTTGCCTTCTCTCGGATTCCCCATTGGACTCAGTTTTGGACAGTTTGCCTCGGCCACACCTTCCCCGAACACCAGCGCTCAATGGACATGCCTCTTGTTTTCATTCCTGTCCCTGCATGCCTTTTTCCCCGTGTTTTCCTCACTCTACCCCGCATTGTGTCGTCTGCATAGGGTCCGGAAAGAACACTTCCGTGAAATGTTCATAATTTTGAAAGAATTTACTGTTGTTCCATCAGCACAATTACATGGTGTCTTTCCAGTGTTTAAATGATTTATTAAGTTGTGTGGTGGTTGAAGGATGATAAAGATAATCTTTTTCTTTATGAAGTGTATCACAGTGTTTCTTCTCTCCTAGTCATCTGGTTCTTCCATAGACAGGTTAATACCAAAATTCATGACATCTCATCTCTTCTTGTTTGTCTCTCATATTTTAAATTGAATCCCACATTAACTTTTACCCTTTGTTGTCCTGGGTGGGAGCATTACAGTATGCTAACAAGAGTTTTTAAGGGATTTTGAAAATCATACTATTGGAGACTATTTTTTCAGCTTCAGTGTGCAAATGGCACATTCCTTGTGTAGGTGTTCTATAGCCTGCTTTCTCCCAGAGGGCTTTTGATTGTATTCCTGCACTTGACATATTCCAGTTAATGGAAGTTTCCCCAGCCCAACCAATCAGTGAAACTTGTCTGCCATGGCAGCTGGAATTTACATTGTATGCTGCTCTGATGCTCTTTCTCAAGTGCATAAATTCCTCAAAAACATTTCCTGCATCTTATCTGCCCCATTTACTTTTCAGTAGGCTTTGGATTCTGCAATTCCTTGGAAATTTGCATGATTTCAGTGATGGCCTGACAGGCCTACAGTAAGATTTTGCACACTCTTGGTTTAGGCTGCTGATCTTTTTAAAGCATCCGTGTCTTTCATTCTGAGTCCGTCCATAATGCCATCTTGTATGCAGTAAAGTACATCAAACCTTATATGAGGAATCTTCTGTGAAAGTGTAATTTAGGATGCTTTCATAATCCAGATCCAGTGTTCAATATGTTTGATACACTGCAGCTGCAGATGATTCAGACCGTTTCATCTGATGAAATGAGGAATAAAAGCATTAGCATATGCAATCTCTTAATGCATGATTTTCTGTAATATTTTCTTCTATCCAGTGAGTTGTTCACTTTACAGATTAAATGAGGAAAATGTAAAAATACCTATTGTGAATAGAATGTACTGTCAAAGAACTCACTACCATTACCATTATATCAGTAAGGGAGAGTAGGGGACTATGCATACCTTCATCAAAAACATGCATTGTCAGTGCTACCCATGATTTTTCACAATATGAGCTGCATAGGGGCCACAGAAAAGTTTGTATCATGTGGTCCTGCAGTCCATTTCCTGAAAACACTTCTCACTTCTCAATTTGTTTTGAATGTGTTGACATTGCTGATCATGTCGATGACATTTTTATTGTGTCACTGCAGCTCTACATTCAGCAGTTCAGTCAAGTCTGTGAGGAATGCTAAATCCAGAAGCCACTGGTCATCCTCTAATTGGGCATATTCACTATGTTTAGACGACTTGAGAAACTCTTTGATTTCAGGCAACAGGTGTCTGAACCTCACCAAAAATGTTAGTTTTTGAAATCTCCAACAGCATGTCAGCAGCCTCAGAAAATGTTTTTTTTATTACTACTTGATCCCTGAATAACCTTTTGTGTTTAGCGCAG